ACGACCGATAGAGAAATTAAGTTGACGGAAATATTAATAATTTGTTTGGACCACTGTTATCATTGTGAGAAAGCTTAGAATTTCCGATTCTCTGGACTTCATCGGCAGCTGATTATGAAGGGTACTTGATCCGAAATTGCTGACTACCATTTTTGTTTCTCTTTCGGTGGGATAAGTTCTCTGAAATTGCTACTGTGTCTTACGATTTCACGGTATCAAAGGTTAATTAAGACATAGGTGTTGATTCGATTCTCTTCAGAACTTTATTGCTGGCAAGTAATTTAATCCCTGTTCTGCTCAATTGTAACAAATAAATTGCGTATATCTAACTTTCATTTTCATTAACGTTGCTGATAGCGCGACGTATTAAGTTCGGTGGATAAGTTTAAATTTTTTTTTTTTAATAGGGATAAAAAGGCCTAGTACAATTTAAAGATATATTCTAGAAGGAGAATAATTTGTTTACTAGAAAAATAATACGGCTATGTTATATGTAATGCATATTCTTTTAATAAAATCAAGTGCTTAGGGTAAGGCATCTTCATTTTTTACTGCTCATAGTACTCAAATTGGGGAGAAATTTTTTTTAAAAAAAATTCTTATCTTTAGTGTTAGTTTAAATTAGTAACAGTTTAGCAATTTTTAAAACCTAAACGTTTTATTTGTTAATGTGAAATATATTTTATTTTTTAACGTTAAATATAAGATTTTGTGAGAAAAAAAATATCATTGAATCAGGATGGAAACTTGGAAAAGTTTCTTTAAAAGGTGGAAATTTTACCACAAATAATTGTAATACATTTTAGACTTATTTAAATCGAATTTAAATAACTCATTACTGTTATTGACCATTCAAAGACTGTTTATTTTTCAGGTAGGATGTCAAAATTTTCCAGGTTTTTGTTAAAAAAAAAAAAAAAAAAAAAAAAAAAAATCAATTTTTTAGAAGACAAAATAAAATTCCCCGTCAACTCCAGATATTCTCCGCATATGAATATAGTCCAACGAAATTTTAGGTAACACGAAAATGAAATTTGCATTTACTTTACCAAGAAAAAAAAAATTAAGGGTCAAATATTTAATACGATAGAGCGATACTATTAAATTAAATACGTAAATGTACTTCTTTAAAAGCAAACGTTATACAAGTTTAAGAAGAAGAAAAAAGTCTTATAGAAGAAAGTGTATTAGGGAGATAGACTATCTTCATAATCATAGCTAGGTAATAAAAGAAGAGCCGTCAAACATTCCGTGTACATATCTGTGAAACAAACACCTGTATTTATTACAAACAACGAGGGATACAAAACGTAAACAACCTTAAGAATGCGATGATTCGGTGAGTGTCGCGGAAAATGCAAGATTAGGGCGGGTGATAAATGCACATTTTTCTGGAGACGAGAGAGAGACCGGAGTGTTTCATAAAGTTACATCCCTCTCTCTCTGACTTACGCCGAGAAATCTCATTGCGTTGACCCTAGGATATAAATATAAATAAAGAAGTCGACTGCTCTTGTAGCGGCTTTTTAACGCGACCTTGAAGTAGTATGGGGGATCGTATAGTTATTGAATTAGGGATTTATATAAAGGTTATAATTCTTTTATATTATTGTACGTTTTATTTGTCTCACATTTAATATTAAATGAAGTGACTTTTTTATGAAGATAGGCAGAATAAATATATTAAATTGAACTTTACAATAAATAAAATTAAACGCAGAAGTAAAACTAAATTACAACTTATGGAATAAAATGTTTTTCATTAAAACAGTATATTTCAATTAATCGACAGTTAAAAGTTATATTGGAAGAAACCTTAACTATTAATTTATTTTCACAGAATAGAAAAAAATATAATTTTATCGCTATGTTATAAATTTTAAAGCCACCATGGCATAATGGTAACGGCACAAAGCTGCTATTGTGCAATACCGAGGATTTATCGCCATAAGCCAATCTAAGTTCTGCTGGAAGGATACCTGCTGAGAGCAAGGTCGCAACTAGAAACTTTTTCGTCCCTCAATGAAATAGATATACCACAAAAACAAATTGAAAGAAATGTTATATTCCACAAGAACAAATTGTTAAGATAAGGCGTTCTGCATTCTAATTCCTCATAAATCTATCACTCCTTATCTCCCCTTCTGCTGACCAGACGAGTGGTCCTCTCGCCGTTCAAACCCCCTTCCTCTAGCGTCCACCATGTAAAAGGGGGCAACCGCAAACGATTTGTAGCTTACAAATTATCAATTTGTAATTGTGGGCAATTGTCAGACCATGTTGCTGATCTAAGCGAAATTGTACATCTACATGACCCCTCGTTGTGGGAGAGCGTTACTTGCAATATTTAATTTAATATTTGTTCCTAAGAACAAAGTTAAGAATTATAAAAAATAAATTTTCAAAGAAAAGTACAAAGAGTTAAATAATTTTGCGTAAACATATAAAACTAAAACTCTATATGCAATAACACCTAATAACTCTAGCTAATATAAAAGTTAAAAAATTTTTATAAATAGGTTAGGAGAAGTACTATGTTTTATTTTTTCTTCATTTCAATAGCATAAAGGCGCTATATAAAGAAATAATTTACAATAATGTAGTAGATTTTATTGTTATTCTCTAAAAAAAGGGCAAGAGAGAAAGAACTTAATAAAGACCAAGATAAGGCTCTCAGTTGATGCCCGACCCCTGTCATGAGGAGTGATACTGAAAGCAGGCAACTATGACAGACAGATTTCCCCTGACGTAACAACTAAGCGGGACCACCGAAGCAGCAAAGGCAGCCTCTTCCCACAGGAAATCACTCATCATTTTATATATTTTTCACTCTTTTTATACACATATATTTATTTAACACCTTTGTTACACTTTAATTCGTGAAAATGTATTTGTTAAGAACAGTGTCATAGAATCTTGACTCATAAAACATACCATTTTCCTACTATGAAAATTCAATAATTTGAAAATTACTTTGAAGCATCATTATACCAATGCTGCAAAAAAACTCTCGCTGTTAAACTAAGGTATAAAATTTCAAAGTTGTTCGCTTAATAAAATGAGGCAATTTATTTGTTCTTCTTTAAATTTAAAATTAGATTATTAAGTTAAAATTGACTTTCATTTAATTAAATTATCATAGCCGTAGAATCGTACAGCTGATTAAATAAAAGGCTGTCGTCTTATTAGAGTAATACATAGGCGGAACATGTCATAAATAATAAAAGCTAGTTTACAACAATAAAGTAAAAAACTGAATAAACTTCGGCAAGGGCGTTAAAATACGGAGACAAATCTTTCAACTAACACTGTAACAACTCGAATAGAGAAAATATTAAAGAGTAATAATGCACTTTTTCAAATGTCAATCAGCATTAACAACGAAAATAAGCGATCTTTGACGACTCAAAGAACAATAAAAAGACATTAAGATAATGTTCGAATGGAACATCCTCTTTGCCTTGCGCAAGAATTGCGAAAATAAAGAGGCGAGAAACATAAATATTTTACCTGGCTGATTCCTAGATCTTCACTTTCACCAAAGCCCATCAAAATCAATTAACGAATGGGTTAACGAATCTTCTTTTGTCTGGGCACAAAGCGCCATTTTGAATTAATACATTCCATAACAGGATTATGACGCAATTCAGAGAAAACTAAGACGCACTTGAGAAGAACTGAGCACCTTATATACTCAGTTCTCTCAAGTGAGAAGGACGAAGTTTCACACCAAAATGTACAAACAGATCAAGGTCGCAAACAATTATGTTTTCCTACAACAAAAAAAATTAAAAGAGAAATAATGTTATTCTATCAGGCACTGTTGCGGAACCAAGAAAAATGCTAGAACAAGTAAAAATTTTAAAAAAATAAAACGTTCTCATAATCTGGAACGGTTAAGAAAAGTATCCCCTTTTGCTTTCATTTTAGGAGCGTTCCAGAACACCAAAGCTATTTCTTGCTGGAATACATTCTTCCAAAAGATGATTACAATCTTCTAACAAATGATTAAGTTCAAGATGGGAATTGTCGAAGAAAAATCGTGCAAGCAACACGTATTGAATCGCCAAATTACGCTAGCAACAAACATATTTTCATAATTCATGTGTACTGTACTACGATTTATGTGTCAATACTACAAGGTTATACTCGCCAACTGATTATAAATTAAAAATTTTCTAGTAACTATAGTAAGAAGTAAAAACTAACAAAAAGCAATAAACCTAAAATAAAGGTAATAAAATTAACCACGAATTCGAAAAAATGGATGGAAAATAATGCAGGAAAAAGAAAATTTTAAAATTGTCTCAAATCAAAAATGACCTTGAAACTTGGAATGAAATTACAGAAAACGCAAAATTCAGTTACATTTGCTTTAAAAAAATGCAAAATATTTCACTGCAGAATAAGATAGATAGTGTACGAAAACCATAGGTGCTTCAATATATGTAAATAGCATATCACAGTATCGTTATTAGGAGGATCGGAGTTAAAATTCCGCTCTTAAGAACATTTTTGTGCCGTACTTTTAACGGTCTATAAATTGATTTAAATTCTTTCTTTTTTTTCTCTAAATAGGCCCTGTTTTCAATGTCAGAAGACAGAAACTGGCCATTAGGTCCAGTCATAAAAAAAATCGAAATTTCGTGAAGAACTCGTAAATGTTCCACCAAAGCACACATAAGAACAAGAACAGAGGTAAAATTAACAACCTCAAACTGAATTAAAAATATACAAAACGGATTAAACAGACATCAAAACTCCATATGTTCCAAAAACCACAACTAAACCAGAATAGAAACATATGCTCATAAGTGTAAAATTAAAATTACTCATCCTCATGAATTTTTCAATGATTTATGTGAATACACACTAAAATATGAATACACACTTCAAAGCTGCCGTTTGTGCCTGGAAGCGCAAAAATGACAAAAGGGGAAGTAAAAATCTATTAATTACTGTGTGTAATATAAGAGATACAAAAAAGGATAGAAACTTACGATTAGCTGTGTGATTGTAATAGAATTATCTGAATATAAACAAAGTCTTTCAGCGGTCAGAGGCCTGCTCTGACGCAATTTGGAAGCCAGGAACAAACAAACGGCTCCTAATAGTTGCAGTTGACTTTTATCTACACGCACTAATAAAAGAAACCTATCCAAACAGTTTACAGCGAGAGGGAACACTTCGTCTTGGCATCGCTCTTCTTCGCAAACCTGTAAAGTAAAAGATTCGAGAGTTAATGACAGAATCAACGTCTTATATTTTGAGACAAATAAAAAGGTCAAACCAAGCTGACCGGTTGAGAAATTAAGACAGAAAGCAATTGATCGTAAATATCGCAGATATTTTGCACCTTCCTTAAGATTTGATTCACAATATAAACTCGAATTAAAACTTAATTGAAAATTGATTGGAACCCACAACTTTTGTGTAAGTCAATTTTTAGCAGTCTTTATTTAACATTCCATGCTAACTTTTTATTAATTTTTAACATTTTATACTCATTTTTAAAATGCTTTAGAGATAATGATACAAGGGGTTTCCAGGGGTCTGTTGAAATTTTGCGAAAGGCCCGTTTTTGTAAAATTGTGAAATTGCGAATATAAAATAAACGTTAAGTCACATTCTTTCAACCAGGGTCCGCTTTTGTGAATATTGTGTGAACAATTTTTAATTTTGGGTAGGCAAATAGGGTCCGTTATTCCAAAAAAAAACTTTTTCAGGGAGTTTTTAAATTGTAAAGACATGCAAGATTATGCTCTACACTGTAAAATTATAATTAAAAAAATTAAATTTTAAAAAATAAACGGCAATTACAGCTACTATTTTAGAGATGCAACATACAAATATTTGGTATTTATCCTAAGCAGAATATTCATTTCGAACGAATAAAGGAAGGAGCTTCTGCCGAAGACAAAACTTATTTCGTTTGCATTTGTCTTTCTCCCCCCTCCATTAACAAAACAATAATGAAGACAAACAAATTTGTGAAGGGTCCGATTAAAAGATAAATTATTTTGTGAAGGGTCCGTTTCTAAGAAGTTAAAATGTTTTGTGAAGGGTCCGTTTTTATAAAAAGATATTTTGTGAAAGGTCTATTAACGGACCCAAATTTCTTCAAAGCAGACCCCTGGTTTCAATACACCAATCAATAAAAAATAAACTTTAAATTTTAAAAGTCCTGATGATGCAGCAGCTTTAAAATAATTAGTTCAATTTTCTCAGATATTAAAGTTGCGTATTTTGGTGTGTCTGAACAATTTAACATTAGCTGTTTTAGATAGTAGTTTTACCGCGCATGATTATTTCCAAAAAACAGATGTGATTAATACGTTTTAAATACATAAAAAAAAATTGCTCGGTGATAGAATCATTAAAAGTAAAGTACCGCATCTAAATGCCATGAGTATAAAAAATTACTTCTTTACTTCCTGGAAATACAGTTATCAATAGTTGGGAGGGTAAAGATGTAATGGAATGCCTTTACATGTTCACAGCATCGTCCTGCTACCAGATGATGAAAATAGAGAAAACACATTTCAAAGAGAAATTACAAGAAACTCGCCTCTATATCATTCCATATCTTGACGGAGGGAAAGGAGATAATTACCAATTTCCTGAATGGCATCCCATTTATCCATACCCTCGTTAGTAGCCCCACTGCCACTTCCCAGCTATTTACTAAAGGCATTATGCCTTCTTAGAAGGGGGACACGTCATGCTCCTGCTTTTCATTTTATTTTTAGAATTGTAACAATGGTTCATAAGCGAAGAAAATCAGACGATTTTTAAAGTGAAACGTTTTCACACATAGTATTAAGGTTTAAAACGATAATTTTTTTTACGATTTAAATATGAACTAAAACACTAAACAAGCAGACGATTAAGAATGAAAAATGTGAGTAAAAACTAAAATGGTAATTAAAAAAGCCGTTTTACTAAAAACCTGGTCACGAATTCAAATAATGTAAAAATTAAATTCAACTTCATCACTGTAAAATACATAAATCGATAAATATATTTTTATGCAAACGATTCTAAAAATGACTTCATTCTATAACCATCAATTTTAAACCCAAGTTCTAAATAAAATTATACTTGAGGAAAAATTATTAATATTGGAAATCAAATATGCAAGTAATATACTCGCAAAATAAAATTTTGATTAAAAGCGGATTTAAGCATGGTTATGATAAAAAAAAATATTTAAATATGTAGCTAGTTAACCCTAAACACATTATTCTTTGAAATAATGTTCTAAAGGCCCATTTAATACCAAATAGATAAAGCTTTCCATTGAGCCTCTGAGCTTATTTTAAGAACAAGTTAAATTTAAAAATTTCCACCTGCTTCAGAATTAGATACCTAAATCAAAAACAAGATGGAAATTAGATTGCGCAGATGCTTTAGAAAATAATTTTAACAAGCATTTCTAAGAACATTCAAGGAAAGGAAAAACTTCTCAAATGAAATGATTCTAATGAATATTAATGAGATATTATACACTGATTTATCACTTACTAAATTTATATCGAACCTACTTAAATTGTTATTGATTCCTTAATTGTTATCGTTAGAATAATATTTTTTGATTGGACAAATGAAACATAGTGAAATTAAGTTTTAATAATGAAACAACAAAATATCGTTGTTATGCATGATTACTTGATTCGAAATTTAAATACATGTTTCATTTATGAGTGAACAGAATGATTTTGTGTTGAAAAATAGCAATTTAAATTAAGGTCGAATAATGCCAAGCGAGATTCAGTAATTTAAGCAATGAATTCAAAATGTAGGAATTAAATTTAACTATTTTAACTAACTGTCGTTCTTAAACTTAATATTTCCTCCAAACAAACAATGGGAAAAATTGGACTACAATCTGATACAATATTCTAATTTTTGTTATCAATAATTCAAAATGTTGAGAAACTCTGAACCGTGTCTTATACAAAAGACGGAAGTCACTTTTCGCGCTGGTAGAATATTTAAAGGATGCCGTGAGAACAATTCAGCAGCTTAACAAAAACGAAAAGTAGACAAAATTATGAGAAAACATCTCTAAATTGCATCTTTCCGCGAAGATTTGGGATCTACAGCAGACGACCGACAAAAGTCACGGTTAACTGGCCTGGCACACTGCCCGTGTTCTTAACCGTGCCATTTATTCTATTATAGAAAACAAGATGAGAATAGACGATCGTTTAAGAGAACACTTTCTGAATTCATTGTCAAGGGTTGGCTTGCAGCGTGTGAAAAATAATATAAATCGAAAATTTATACTAAGTAGTTATAGGTTTTCAAAACTACACAATAGAAGTGTGACAATAAATAATGTCTGCAAGTTCTTGACAATTTGCAGGCGTCAAAATATTTTACAAAATATGATTGAAAATATTTCAATGCTGAGAATTATCATTGAAAGAGGACTTTTACCCCAAAATACGTAAAGGGCATTTACTTGTTTATTTTTAAATTCCTTTACGCTAACTCCTTAACCTTTTAAACTTCAGGCGGATATTCCATAAAAAGAGAAAGAAAAAAAAATCTTGGCAATAGAATAGTCTATTATTTCCACTTGAAAATATTTACTCAATAATCAGTGCTCATAATTATAAATTATATTGATGGGCTGCAATGCAAACTGACAAAGGATAACTGTCTCTTAATATTGACGCATGCAACAATTATTTAATTCAATAACTTATTTATAATGATATAAAATAAGATATTAGAACTTTATTAATTTAAAACACAAGTCAAGAAGCTGATTGATTGTTGAAGGATTTTTTTTATTTAAATTGATATTACTTAAAGGGAATACGATATAAGCACAAATCTTAAGGGGAAAAAGTCATCTGACTTGGTACCTACACTAACATAAATATCCGAACTATGTTTAACAGTCACTAATTGCGGTAATTCGCTATAACAAATAGGCATCTCAAAATAATAGATAAAAATGGATGATTAAAAAAAAAGGTGCATAATATATTTTTTCCGATAAGTAAATCAACTGCACATACTTATAAAACTGTGGTAAAAATAAAAAGAACACCCGTAACTAGCAATAAAATTTGTAAAAAAAGCCATATTAAATATGCAAACGATAATTAAAAGTATTGTTCTTTAGTGTCCGCCATATTGCTGTAGAATAAATATTCATAAATTAAGTTTAATTTTGGAATGCATATTGCTCCTTGCTAAATTACATTAAAAAAAAATATTATTATTTTCCGAGAAAAGAGAGTTTTAATTGTAACAAAAACATGAAGGACAAATTTGAGCACAATGAAGTTTCACAGAACAATCAATTTCTCCTATTAGTTATTCATATATTATTAGTTATTCATGTACAATTAGTAAAACAATACATAATAATTGATTTAAATAATTTCAATATTTGATTAGAAGTTAATAATAATTAATTTAACTATTATGAGCATGCATATAAACTATTCTTATTAAAATTTATGTGCAATATCGATGCAATCCTTTATTTGAGGATATAACATTTGTCCAACTTCAGGCATTTAAACTTCTGGAACAATACTTAAAAAAAAATTTTTATCAATCTTTCTTTTAATAATATAAATTAAAAAAAAAAAAAAGAGAATGGAATTATACTGGAATAGGAAAATAATGGAATTATATGAGGACATAACGATTCTTTCCTTTGTCTTATTTCATGCAAATTTATTAATTTCTCAATAATACACAAAGAATCAAGAACAAGAAATGAAAGAATCTTTTAGAAAAATAAATAAAATACTATGAAATAATCTTACCTCTTGCATCCATTCAGCAACAACAGTTCTCATATATGGTTTTAAATCAGTCTGTAAATTTTTAAAATAATTACAAGAAAGTACATATCGGTCTTCTATAACTAATAAATTTTCGAAAACCCTAGAATCTTCATTTAAAACTGGGTCTTCGTAAGCTCTGGTTATATTTTCTGTTTCACAGCAAAAAAGATCCATAATTGAATATAAAATAAAAGTATGTAATAATTCGTATATATCTTGGACAGATGGAATAACTTATTCCCACTAATAGCACATTTTCATTTATTATTTTTTAAAACGAACGTAACAAACATAATTCAATAAGTGTTATGGTGTTTATATGTTTCATCAATGGATATTCTATGTTTCGGAATTGTAGAAGTTAATGATAAAAACATTCAATTTGGAACAAATATATTTGACAAGTTAGGTGCAAGCAGAGGATACAGAACTTATTCAGCAACTGTTCATGCTTGAAAGAAAACGGCAGCAACAGCGCTAGAGGCACATGCGAGAGAATAGTTACAGGGTTGCATTTTTCTACAAAGAGTAAAAAGGCGCCAAATTGGGCGACGAAAAAAAAACACGAGCTGGTTGATCCTTCTTTTATTTCAATGATGTTGATGCAAATGAAAGAAAAGCCATAGCAACCAAAATTTAATATTCCTTAGAAATGTTCACTTTCGATTTCGCTGTAGCATGAATGGAAAATATGTTATTCTGTTGTGTTATGTTGTAATAAATTAAAATAAGAGAACAAAACCACAATTCCAAATACATGGTTTTAATTATTAAAAATAATATAACAAAATTAAAAAAAGTACTTTTAGAACTATTATCATTATTTTCATAGTTCTTTTTTTAAGTAAATAAAATCATTTGTTTTCTTCAATATATTAATTATACAATTATTCTAAAATGTTAATTACTTTGGTTTTAATATTCTATTTCGAATTTAGCTCTCAATTTTCCTTAATTTTTTCATATTAGACTATTATACTTGTCTTCTTAAAATAAATTAGAAATATAAACTTTAATCCATAATAATTCATTTTATTTCATTAATGAATCATAACTATGAGTATTTGTTTATGATAAATGCGGGGAATTATGAGAAGTTGTTTATGATTACATAAATTTTTAGAAAACAAATTCTTTCAATAAAATGTAGAGAAAATGTGTAATTGATTAATAAAAATGTAATTTATCCAATTTTCAGAAATATTTCATAGGAATAAATCATAATTACTGTATTTCTATATTCCTTTGTTTGAAAACTCGCCAAAATTAGCTTATTTTCTTATTATGGGCGATAACTTGCCAAATATGATGTCGTAACCACAAAATGCATATATCCCGTATTTCTCAGCGTGTCTTCATTTTGATTGGGCATCGCAGATGAGCAACCTGTTTCGCCGTCTTGTCTGCCCATTCACAAAATTTGAGGATGTTGGAGCAGCGTAAAAAGTGCCGCAATGAAAGGGAAGGAGAAAGTAAATCATGTGACTGCGGAGTAATCGCTTGAAGACAATGTGTGCAAGGTCATTGTTCGAAAAATTAAAATACCAATTAAGTAATAGCTTCATCGAATTCGTTAAGAGCTAAGCAAAAATAATATTTGTAAAAATGATTAATTCTTATCGAATTGCAATTTTTATTAAAAATTTATTTCCTGTGAAATATTGAGGCTTCTTATTCATTTTCTGATTGTAGATAAAATTTAGCCGGATTTTTTTTGAGTAATTTTTCGTAAGGAGTAAACGAAACATTTCTTTATTGTTCTTCCAAAACACTTGACGAATTGATAAATAAAATGTGTATTTAACTTATGTCTGTTTTTTTTTTTTTTTAATCCCAATGCAAAACCCATTTTGAAATAATTAAAAAACAATAATAATAAAATAAAATAAATAAAAAAATAATAAAATAAAATAATAATAAAAAAAAAATAATTCAAAATATAATTTTTGATAAAACAGAATGTTTACATGCATGTGTGTATATATGTACCTTATATAAATCCCCAATTTGGAACCGATCCGCGCGAAATTTTGAGTATGTACTTTCGAATACATGCCCTATTACCAGCTTCACGGAATCTGATTCCGATCGAAATGAAACTCTCGTGACGTCATAAATCCGTGAATGTCAGTTAAGTCGTATTACGAGCTCTTGATTCCGCTCGGAACTAAATTCCGATGCGAAATTATTACGAATCCCATTCCGGCAGGTTTAAGAGTAAGCGAAATCTAGATTCCGATAAGAGTTTGTATATTTCAGTGAACAAAATGGCGCTGTTTTCCGTCATACAGCCAGCTATTGCTGAAGAGAGTGATCGAAACACTATTAAGAGAAAGATCTATCGGCTTAAAAGATTTTGGGTATTCCAATATCCCGACAACAAAATTTAGAAATTAATTTAGATTGGAAATTAGTTTTTTTTTAAATGGTGTTACTCATAGGCGAAATTCAGTAGTGGAAATGAATAATATCGGATTGTGGAAATTAATAACAAAAGCTACATAAAAAAAATATGTACGAAAAACAATAGAATCTTAGCTAAAAAAAGGAATTACCAAAGTTAGCTATTAGAATTTCCTATATTGTTTGAAATATGCATGTGTGGAGATTTTACTATCGACTGTGTTATCCTTCAACTATCTTATGGTACTTTAAGATGGATGCAAGTTAACATGTCTTATATAGTAGTGATTTGGTATTTAATATTTATAGTGGTAATTACGCCAGATATGCCGGTAAGGCTTCCTTTATTTTAATCTGGATTGTTTTCTAGGTATTCCACAATCATTGTTTGGAGGCGAATATTAATTTTTGTACGTGAAGCCATTTGAAAATACTACGTTGTAATTTCACTCTACACTACTCTCTATACTTCAAATAAACACAAACTTGGCTTTTAGAACACAAAATTGTTGAAAATGTATGAATTTTTAAGCTTTCAGTTCTAAGTTAATGCGATTTTAACTCGCATAGAAGTAGAGAATACAAACATATCGTTGCCAGATTAATAAATTAGAATTATAATAATTTTCTAATTGGTCAAAGTTAGCCCCGCCTACAAACTTCAATTTCACCGGAATCGTGTGGAATGGCGATTTCGATTCCGGATTCCGTTATGCTCATGTTACGGCAAAGTGGGTTTTACGAAATTGGCAATCCGATGAAAGCTAGTTTCCGATCGGAATCGTTTCCGAGCGGAATAAATTTCGATGAGTTGGTAATAGGGCCCCTGGATTGTCTACTTTAAAACTCCCTCCGATGAGTTCGCGCGTTACATCAAAAATAAAGAGTTTTTCATAGAATTTGATAAATTTTTTAATAATATGAGTGATTTGTTGGCTTGCAGATCTAATTAATCAAAAAATAGTTTTTATGCATAATTAATTGGGTACTTGCACTTAAAGAAGAAGATCTCCCATACCCACACATTTGACCTGTGATGTCAACGCCAGCTGATCTTTATCAGCAAAATAGCTTATTAAAGTTGAGCTAAAACTCTCTGCACAAATTGGAATGTTATTAACGATAAGTTAATTAAATACATAGCAGTATCACACATCGAATGAGTTGAAATATAGTACTTTCTCGTCTGCTTCTTTTATTTAACTTATACTTTTAATTTGTTTAAGTATTATATTGTAACCGTGACTTTTGTTTTGTGTACCTGGCAACTTCCATGCCCACTCAAAGGCATACAGAACAAAACAAACATACAGAACAGGCTCATACAGAACAAAAACAGACTAATTATGCATCGAGGATGCCATGTACACAACACAAAAATATATCACGGTTACAGTAAAATACATAGACAAATAATAAATATAAATTAAGTAAAAGACGCAGACGAGAAAGAATTATATTTCAACGAATTCGATGGCAATGTATTTAATTAACTTCTTCGTGTTAATTAACATTTTTACTTAGTGGACAAACTTAGCACAACCTTAACACGCCATTTTGCTAATAAATGATCAGCAAGCAGTGACGTCATAGGTCACAAGTGTGGGTATCCGTGATCTTCTTCTTGAAGTGCAAGTACCCGAAAGATTAATTTTGATAACTGATAAAAATTTAAATGAAAAAAAATTTGTTAAAAGGTCAAATTAATGAAGAAAAAAATCACATTCGTGAAAAATTGTCATATTTTTATTGACCCAGTGATGCTTAATTAAGTCAATAATTGCTAACAGGATTAAACTGAAATGAAAAAATAAGTTTTTTTTTAAAAGTTCAATTAATAGAAAAAGGTACTTACTTATTCCTGAAGGAAAAGCTTGAAAAATGCCATATTATTGAAGATAATTAATTTTGAAAATAAATTCGCCTGCTGTTGTGTAAATTTTTTTAGTAGGTACTAAATATTAACATTACGGAACATATCAACATTCGTACCGTACCGAAGTACTTACCATAGGTACTATGAAAATAAGTTTTCTGACTTTCAGGAATTCGCCTCGAGCAATAGCATTACACCAAATGATACTTACTGAATGTAGTTAATCATTATTTTGATAGGATGAGCATCTAAATATATATTTTGCTTAATCTAATAACGTAACGAAATCGGGAAGGGCGACAAATAATGAATTAAAAAAAATTGGAATTGTTTTAGCTTAATCAATTGCGATGAGTGTTGATCAATATAGATTTATTGATTTACTTTACTTGCATTTACTTTTTTTCAGCCCATATGAAGATATTGAGTATTCAGATAGTACTTCTGTTAAACTATCAGCACAAAACAATTTCAATATATATATTTTTTTCATATATAAATTAGTCTAAGCGTATTATATTAACATTATAAATAAATAAAAAATTAATGTATTCCTTACTTTAGAATTTTTTCCTAGATGTTTTCCGCTCAGAACACGATTTTTTTTCTTCTTTTTACTCGCGTCATAATAACATTTTCTGTTTTGTTTAATCTTTTTTTACCCACATTAATTCAATTTATTTTACAAGACACATCAAAATTATTTATTTTCAATTTTAAAAGAACATTTTTATAATTATTCACATTCCTAGGCAATCATTAATAATATTTCATGATAACGATGGAAGAGAAGAAGCGAATAAGCCATTCGATGAAATTATGAATCCATGAATTATCCATTGATTGTCCATAAATAAATACTTTGATAATTGGTGCCAATTCGTTCCCTCATATGCGTGTGTATCATAAAAATTCTTAAAAAAATGAGATTTTTCCGACTTTTTGTTCTTTTTTTAAGAAAAATCCTCCATAAAACTGAATTCCATCTTTGACCTTATTTATATTTCAAGGGTAGCAGGCCTTAGCAACAAGCATACACAATATTCTAAAACAGGTTCAAAAAGACTGTTCACATTATGGGGAGTCAGAAAATAACTACCCTTGCAGAATAATCGTTTAGATGAGGGGTTGACCTTCACAGAACATATAGAATATTCACCCTAGACACCCCGTGGGTCTTGTACGAAATAATTATTTTTCAATAAGAAAGTTTTGA